CAGTGGACCAATATTTTGATAGAGTATCAACCACTGAACCAGTTTTTTGGTAGACTACCAAAGTCAGGTGCCTGTGACTCATTAGTTAGTCTTTGAGAAATGAGAATGACCCAGCAAGATGAAAATTATTTTAAATTCATTTTCTACCTAGAATGAAGTCTCCTTTTTATAACAAAGTTACTTATTGTGGTTTGATCCTTTAACAAATACAGGTTGGGCAAAAGTTCATTTATAGTTGTGAGTACAGGAAACACAGACTCTGTTCTTATATTATTGTATCATTTTTTATACAAACAATTGTAAACTTACTTTTGCCCCACCATATATGTGGTGATCATTGGAGCACAGAATTATCTAAAGCACCCTTAAAAAAAGAAGTAGAAACAATTGACCCTGTTCTTTGGGGCTATAAGAAACATCCAGGCAATCAATGAGTCTTTTCTAATTGAACTTGCCTTATGCAAATCAAAGCAAGAAAAACATTGATGAGAAGAAGAGTAATCAGAGCAGCCTCTTAGAGAAGGTGAACTGTGAAGACAGAGTAGTGGAGAGAACTTTAGAGGGCTTAGCAAATAGGGGGAAATGCCATGAGAAAAATTCAGGAGGCCAAAATTAACCAGACGCTTATTGAGAAATGATACCAATTTGGTTGAATTTGAAAGTGAGCAATGGAGATTTCCTAAGAGGTCAATTGGTCAGTAGAATAAGGAAAAGTTAAATCTGAGAGACATTTCATAATCAGTGATGACTCTAAGACCAGCCAATCCAACTTCAACATGTTACATTCCTGAAAACACTATCTCACAATGCCACGTGACAACGTTAAATGGGAAACAGCCGAGGGTCTGTTGCCAAAGGGTGTCAGATCCTTGTGCACACTATTTTAATTTCTTGGGATCTTATTTATAAAATTAGAATTGGGTTAAATCACTTCAGAGTTTTTAAAAAAATTAAAAATTGATGACTAATCGATCCAGCCTTTCAGCACCTGAGGTTCCGCAGTCATATTTCCAGTATTCTAATTGCTAAGATTGAGTCCATGCTGTTAGTCCTTGGCAACTGTACCTACGGTTGTTCAATATTGATTGACTATCCACAGTGGGACTCTCAAACTAAGCACACAGAATGGGCACTGCCCGTTAGGAGATTTTATTTATCCAAGAGCCGGAATGTGGGTCAGACCTATTTGCATCTTGCTGGCTTGGAATCCCATCCAAACACCTCTTGGGAAAACCCAGCGCTTTGGGTGGCGGTGCTGTAATGTGGTGAAAAAACCTGGACTGGGAATTGGAAAACCTGGTTTTTAGTTGTGACTCATTGTGTATCTCAGAAGCCAATCATTTGCCAAATTTCTTAAAACCCCTCTGGCAACCAGTTTAAAAAAAAAAAAATCTAACAGGAATACTTGCAAGCCAAAAGATTCTCGTTTACATTTTAACTCTGTCCCTGGGTGTTCAGGAATAAGTCACTTGCCCGCTTTGAGCATTGATGATTTTCAACTGTAATGAGCATAATACCACCTTCTTTGCAGGATGCTGTAAGGGGGGAAAAGAGATGGCTGTCACGGTGGCCAACACAGCAGACCTGGCATGGGGTGGCCACTCAAATGTTAGCTGAACTGGAATGAAAAATGCAGTCTCCCTCACAACGATGTTGTGAAGATTTGGGGATAAAAAGTCATGTTATTCCTATTTGCTGTAAAAATGCCTAAGATTCATGGTTGGTGGTGGTGTTTTTAACAGAAGAGTAATTCCAACACACTGCTTTGGTTTTAAAACCTTGGAGTTAATGTTTTTAACCCTGACATGCATTGACATAAGACAGTTTTGGTATAGTGACTGTGTGTGTGTGTGTGTGTGTGTGTAAATAGTCTAACAGTACACACACACACACACACACCCCATATCAATGTCTTTGCAATTAAGCTTTTGAGACGCACATGTCAGAGGAATTAGATTCTCATATACCTTCTTCCCACCACTTCCTTTTTAAGTCCTTATGCAGCAAAGCATTGATTTACTTACTGACATTTGATTAAACTCTTAAGGTTTCAACCCTAGGAGGAGGCAGCAGTGGACAAAAGATGATTGCCATTCATCATCAACACATGTGAGTCTTCCCCTTGAGTCGCCTATGAAGGATTAGCATTTCCCTGAAAGGCGGAGGACAGAATAAATTGCATCTCCGGCCAAAGAACAGCCAGCTCCTTTCAGCTGGGGGCACATACCGGGAGCTTTTCCCATATTACTCAGCTTTATCTCAACTTTTGGGCAGTGCCTACATCTGAATTTCATGGGTTTCGGGGTCAGTCAAAACAGAATTGTAGGGCTGTGGAGGTCAGAGGCCACCGCTGTCAAAGGGTAGTGACCTGAACAGCAAGAGGTAGCCACTGTTCCCCAACCCCCTCAAATGACTTCATTCTAGTGAATACTTGGCTCATTGCACCTCCCCTGCAGAGCTTTTTTTCCAACCTGGTAATAAAAATCCTCCTGTGACCTGTCTTTTTTGTACATTATTATTGATTTTCTTTTGTTCCTGTTTCTCTATAGAATGACCAAATCTTGGTCCTTGATAATGTTTTGGTTTGCATGTTCCCTGGGAAATGATAGAGGGACGGCTAGTCTGGGCGTGAGGAATGGTGTGGTGCCCAGCTTAGGAGCTGCCTTCATTCAGCACACCAAAATTTCCCAGGACCCGTGAAACTCTCCAACCCCAGTAGGTTCTATGACCATGGTCAAGGTTGATTTAAAAACTGCAAAGCTGCTTAGGAGAGAGGATTGGGGGTGGGGGTGGGAACCGAAGTAGGAAGGAGGAAGGAGGCAGTGTGCTGGAGTAGGAGCACAGACTCCCGGAGAGGGTAGTTTTGTTTTCAAACCCCAGCTCTCCCACTTACCGTGTGACTTTGGGCAAAGCACCAAACTGCTCAGAGCCTACGTCTCTTCACCTGTAAACAGATGTGATTATACCATGGACATAGCCAGGAGGTGGTCAGACGCTGAGACGAGGTGCCTGCCACACTGCAGACCCAAAGAAGAGGAGCCTCTGGGGATTCAGGCAGATCTATTTCAGAAAGGCACCTCAGGTCACTGAGAGTGAGGGGAAGAGAGCGTGTCACATTCTCATTTAAAGACTGTCTTCGAGTTTGGCTCCGTTTTGCATTTTATCCTTCCTGAGAGGTGTCGCACTGGCCAGGACATTTTGGATACCATTCCTGGTGGGGGCGCATTTTGGCGGTTCCTGGAGAATTCACTCTCCTAAACCCAGTGGCTTTCCCATCTATGGGGAGACTATTATAAATGCCAAGGATCAGCACTGCAGCTGATTCTGCGGTTGCTTCTCTCACCCCTGCTGCCACGGTCAGACCTCATTATTTTTCATAATAGTTCTCCAACAACTGGTTTTAGCTCTTGAGGCATTTATGATGACAAAGGGAGGAATCAAACCGGGGAGCCCTATTTCTCCCGCCCACCACCTCTCTTCACCCACACCCCTTTCCTAGCAACAGCTCTTTGCTCAACTCTTGGGGCCCACGTCTTCCGTCCCACCTACACCAGCAGCAGCAAAGTATGGGGGTGAGAAGGCTGGGGCGGACTGAGGTGCAGGAGGAGGAATGGGGAGAGTTCTTCAGGGAGGACGCCGATGAAGCACAAAAGGTTCTGACCTCCTCGGAAGAAGAGGAAACCACCAGGGCCGTGTCCAAGCTGGCTTAGTTTGGGAGGCTGCCAAGGAACTGCAGCAGAGAAGGGCCAGGTTAGAAAGTGGTAGGGAGGTGGGCTGGCCTGAAGGGCCCACAAAACAGTGCGGTTGAGGGAAAGTTTGTCAGCTGCAGGGAACTGTCAACTGTGCGGGCCCTGATTTTCAACCTTTTTCATCTCATGGCACACAAAGTAATTACTAAAATCCTGGGGAACACCAAAATAAATTTTTTTTTTGACAAAAAAAAATAGAATTTTGAGTCATTTATACTGGATGGCTATTGTCATTTTTTTTTTTTTCAATCGAAGGGAAAAGCAGTCAGTGCCCCTGGCTAAACAGGTATTGTTTTAAAAACGTGCAGCACAGCAGTAGGGAATCGCTGGGGTAGGTTACTGGGGATTGCCACACTTCTCTACTCTGCAGACTGGAACCCTGTAAGAGAGAAAACTGGGTGCACGGTCAGGGAATAGCCATCTCTGGATCTTAATACTTCAAGGTGTAAGTCGTGTTTCTCAACTTTGGCTGCAGGTAAGAATCCTCCTGGGAGCTTTAAAAAGCTACTGATGCCCTGGGGTCACTTCCAGGTCAATTATTTACTGTGGGTGGGACCTTACACATCAAAGTTGACTGGGTGAATCTAACAGGCGGCCAGGGCTGAGAACCACTTAAGTCCAATCCTACTTGGAGCTGGAGTGCACCTCCTACACATCTTTGGTGGAACTGGGAATGAATCGCAGTTCTCCCTCACTGTACAGGCACTAAGCAAAGCCCCCTTTCCTTTAAAACCCCCCGTGGCGATTTGCACTCTGTGGGCTCTTGAATAGGTGCGAGCTCCATGCTTCAGGAGACCTACGGTAACCCTTCCCCACATAATAACAGGAGTGTTTATACTATTTCCTTCCAGGATTTATTTTATTTTTTAATTTTGTGATTCTGCCTTTAAGAGATGCAAGACGTTGGGAAAAATAGCCTGTTTGTGCTCTAGTCCAGATTCACTTGGGTCTTTTTGATCGATGTCACTTTAAAACAAATATTAAGGACGAATCTGGGGAAATGGGAAAATGGCAGAAGACTACTACCCAGATCTGTGCAGGGGAGGGTGGGGCTGGGCCTGCGGAAGGGGTAGAGAGTTGCTCCGTGATGGGGGTGCAGGTAAAGGGGTCGAGCTGATGGGCATGAACCCCAGGCTGTTTTTGAGCACCAGCTGGTGGAGCCGTCGCCTCCGCCCCTGTGGCTGGCTTCCTGAGCCACTGCCCAGCTGCCAGTCCGTTCTTTGTTTTCCTTAAGCCGTCCGCCCTCCTCACCCAGCTCTGCCGGCCCGGGCCCGTCAGCGCACAGACTGTAATTGGAATGTCATCGTCATACGACATGCTTGCTTGAGGTCCAGAGTGGGGAGGTGACCCCTCCAAGGTCACATGGTGGTGAAGCCAAGGCTTCCTTCCAGTTCCTTCCACGATGTCAGTCCCTCTCCCCACTGAGGTTGGGCTTACTCGCTGGCACCGTTTTGATTGGTCTGTGACCGGGCTGCAGGCTCAGAGGGGCCAGATTCCCTTTCTTTCCAGACCTGGGGTATATCAGAGGCCTGACAAAGGACACAGCAGGCTGGATGCCTCGGACGCCACAGGCCGGCAACGTGGGTGAGCCATCCTGGCTGCTGTTCATGGCTCCAGCCAGTGTCAAGCTGGCAGAGTCCTTTTCAGAAAGTCCTAAAGAGGGGAGTGTCTCTCTACTGCCAAGACTCCTCTGTTCTTCCTCTGACAAGTGGCTGGCCTCACTCCCAGCCACCAACCTTGCCCATTCCCATTCTGGTGACGGGGTAAGAACCATCGGAGAGGGAAAGAAGGTGCATTTGAGTCATGAGCTCGCAGCAGCTGTTGTCTTTTCCTAATCAGATCCTTGTCAGCTCTGAAATTGAAGGTTGAGAACAATTGGGAACATAGGCAGTATGCTCACCTCCCAAGAGAAGGGTACCCTGTGGTCTGGAGAGAACGCCCAGGGCTCCCAGCGCTTGGCTGTGCTGAGAGGAGGAGGCACACAGCGTCTCCCTGGCCAAGTTCTTGGAGTGACCACTTTGTTCTCTGGGATTGTGACTATTTTTTGCCTCAACTTCCATGCATTTAACGAGCTTGTGGCTGCGACTTGTACTAGATGGGTGTCGTTTATTATGTGCTGCTGCTACCTGGCTAAGAATTTGGCAATTGCTTTAGTTTTTTATGATTAGCAAGTCAAAAGTCAAACCTACTCCACCCCTTGATTTCTGGAGCACGAGCTTTGGGCTGTAAGAGCACGAAGGTCTGGGTATCCTTAGGTTTGTTTCGTACAGTGACTGAATCTGAAATTTCGTTCTTCCTCCTTCCTTTCCTCATATAAAGCCAACTAATGGATTGTGGCCAAAGATCCAATTACCTTCAGGGAGTGAAATCTAGCACCTACTCTCCTTTTGGCAGATCAACAGAGCTAAGCTTCAAAAGAGGATGCTATGTAAAATATATAATTTTAATCTTAAAATCATTTCAGGTACAAATATGTTATGTAATAGCAAGTAAAAGCTTGGCTTTAAAAATAAATCTTTCAAAATGCAAATTGAGTTGTCAAATTCTCATGCCTTTTAGTTCACACATCACTGCTGCCATTTCTGGAAATCTTTGGCTCTGACTCTCTCATACACCGTAGACTTAAAATTTGGGCAAAACATGTCATCATTTTGCCTGCCTATCCTCAGTCCTCGGCCCTAGAACCCACATGCAGTGCTGGGGGAGAGTTTGTTGATGCTTACTGAGTACTCAGTGATGTTATATCTGTTCCAGAGTTTATTGCATCTGAAGCACTGCACCTGACGTATCTTTACACCCCGAGATCATTAACGCACAATGAGCTACGTGCCCGGGGACCAAGTCTTAATGATGCTGATGTGAAAGAACAATATTCCCGTTAAGGGCTGAAAGGCCCCTCCCTGCCCTTTGCTGACGTCAGTCATCATGCAAACTTAAGTCCTTGTATGTAGAATTGGTCCCCTACAAACCTCAGTCAGGCTGCAGGCACTAAATTGTTGCCGGAGGACTGCATACCAGGCCTATCCAAATTTTAATGATTGTTTTATGATGAGATGATGATGAACTGGATAAGCATGACCATCTGGGACCACTTATTGTTTTGCCTCCTTTCACTCTAGTATTCAGAATGGTACTTATTAACATAGGTGCGCGCGTGCGCGCGCGCACACGCACACACACACACACACACACACACACACACACACACACACACACACACACACCGTCATAGCAAATGCAAAATGAAAGCAGGTCATTTCAATACATTTTATTTGAGTGTGAAACCATTCATATCTTGCACAACTGTACAGATAAAACTATTTCCATTTTAGCTGTAGACATGATTATCACACAAAGTGGGTGTGATCAAAGATTTTATTTACAGAACAATTGCTAAAACATCCGATGTCATATTTCTATTTATTTCTTACCCATAGGGTAATAGGTCCACCATAATTGCTTGGTGCTTTTTATAATACAGAAAGAAAACCTATGTTAAGCTCTAACAAACTGCACAAATTGCTACAAATCTGACAGAAGAATGCCTACGAAAAAATTTTCCAAAAGTACAATACATTTTTATTTCCACACATACACAGTATAGTATAAGCTCAAAGGCACAGCTTTGAAATATTTTTTTCTATCAAAGTGTCGAAAATTATTTCGTCTTATGAAGGAACCGTGGAAGTCACTTGCACACTTGGTGCTCAGTAAGTTAATGTTTGGTCCATCCAGTTTCACAACGTTAATACAGCAGAATATGATACTCAATGCTCCTCATCCACATCGCACAGAACTTTAGAAGCCCCTCCCTGCCTTTCGCTGACACTAGCCATTGTGCAAACTTAGGACAAGTATTTGTACATAGAAGAATTGGTCCCCTACGAACGTCAGTCAACTTAAGGCATGCAGAACAGACCTCTTCCTTTCCTCTAGACAGTGCTTATGTTCTAATGCAGGTCCTGTGACAGGCACGAGTTGCCAGGTACCTGCATTTAGCCCTGATGCTCCTGGGAGCACCACCAGGCAGAAGGAATGCGTTGAGCATATCTGAGGGCTGTTCACTGTACAGTAAGATGTCAGACAGATAACAAGGTGAGTGCTCTTGGTAAATTATGTGCCCATCCAAGAACACAAACCAGATTCTGTCTCCAGTATCCATCCTTCAAGACTAAAGAGCTTTTGTCAACAGGAAAATAAGTAACTTATGGGGAGTGGTTGGCAACACAAAGCAAAGTCCTGGAACAAAGGGAGAAGGCACAGAGGGGCCTGTCTGAGATAGTGCTCTAAGAAAGTCAAGTCTGGCTTGGCTACAGGAACCCAATCTCGCTGACTTTTAGTGGGTCCTGTTTCTGAACTAAAGTTTATTCACCCCATACTGAATCCCAGCCTCACGTTCATTAGGAAAATGGATGCCTAGGAATGGTTTACAAGTTATAATGTATAGAGATAAAGTCTTCGGGGGGGGGGAGGGGAGGGGATGGGTTTATTATTATTATTAATACTTATTAATATTAAATATGGATTCCTATGAGAGCAGTCATTTAGCCCATCCTGTGGAGGCCTCTCCATTGATGTAAGCAAAGCCAGGAAAGTGTTGCATGTGCTCATACTCAGAATTCCTGCGGGTGGTCAGGGGTGTGTACATGTCACTAGAGTTTCCATACCTCGTGGAATGCACAGGCGGGCTTGTGTAGCACGTGTTGGCTGTGGGCACCTCTGGCCATCGGGGGGTGACTGCAGTAGGATGCAGTCTGGGAGTAGTGCTCATCAAACAAGGCTCCATCCGGGAAGCGGGGCTATTAAAAGGGTACTTGTTGAGGGGAAAGAAATTCCACAAAGTTAAAATTAGCTTGAAGTTACATATACACAATATTAGTCATGTTCACAGTTTGTTAAATTTCTTAAGATGCTATTAGTGCAAGTTGATGGGATGGAATCAGTGAACTTCTGAAAGATCAAACTGTGGTCTAGGTCTCCAATAGGGGAAATGCAAAAGATTTCTTAGCCAGTATTAGACTGGTGTTCACTCAACCAGTAATATAGACTTTGTGCTCAATCTGGAATGTCTTGGGAAGTCAAACCCCAAAGAGGGAATAGCCTTACTGGGAATATAGGAGTGATACAAGGGGGTGGGGATGGGAGGGGTAGAGGGGGAGAGAAAGGGGGAGAGCGAGAGCGAGAGCGAGAGCGAGAGAGAGAGAAAGAGAGAGAGAGAGAAACAAACATGAGCAATAGCATGTCCAGGTAGATGTGGTTGGATGGCTGTGAGCTTTATCACTAGTTATGGAGATGTGGTAGGTCCCACTCAATCAACCCAAGAGAACAGTACTGCCAAGTGAAATACAATGACATTATTAAAAATAGCACTTTACAGTTGAATTCAATTATGAACTGCAGCCTAAAAGCAGGCTTTTGAAGAGGAAGCAAGCAAGCTAACAGCTTCAAAGGTTATTATTAGTGCCTATCATTTGAAGAACATCTTTTTGGTCTCCAGTCACTGGAATCCTGGAAGAGACTCAAGCGGGAAGTGGCAGTAATTGGGCTCGGTGTGTGTGAATGTGGAAGGAGCCAAGATGAGCCAACTGAGAGGGAGGGGAGGCGTGCTCTTGTGCAGGTCAGAAAAACAGGTGCTTGTAGCTGTAAGAGGGGAAGCAGTTCTAGGAAGAATTAGAAATGAGGTGTCTCTGAAGTGCTCTTTACCTTTTTTTCCAGTTCCCAAGACAGCTATGCAAATAAGCCCTTCGGTACCATCAGAGGGGAGGCGCCTGGTTTGTGGGCCAGTCACCACAAAGATTTCCTTGCTGTGCTAAGGGCCACCCCAAGAGGGACAGGAGCCAGTCAACAAGGATGGCAAGGACTGCAAGTAGGGGAGAGAGTGTGTGAATTCTTCTGCTCCCCATCTGTCTTCCCTGACAGTTGGAGAGTGGAGCCCTGAGGGATTAGGTGGGAGGCTGCCTCCTGTGAGGGAGACAGACAGGCTGAAGCCTGGACAGCCGGGAGAAGGGGGCATGACAACAATGGCTGCTGCTGGTAGTCTCAGGGGCCAAAGGGACCGCTCTGTCTCTTTGAGTGGGAGCTCGACGAGGGGGCCAGGGGGAGGATGACAGGCCCCAGGCATGCGAAGAGGACCAGCAATTCATCGTGGAGGAGGAGGGATCCTAGTAGAGAGGGTCTGTAGTAACCAGGGCAGCGCGCCCTACAGAGCCAAGTGCAGCCACTCCACAGTCAAAAGAGCAGGTAGGAGAGAGGGAGAAGGGTATAGTGGTGTCTGGGAACTCACAGGAGACGGCACCAGGACTGTTGCCAAGGTGACT